GACAATCTAGTGTATCTGCATGATTTCAAACTATTCAGACAAGATCGATGTAGTTCTAGGAAGAAACGTGGTGGCGGTGTCGCCATCTTCATAAATTCACAATGGTGTACATCTGATAAAGTATGTTTCAAATTCTCTAGTGACAACATTGACTGCCTCACCGTCAAATGTCGACCTAAACATTTGTCAAAATATAACTACATATACATCTCGAACATTTATATTGCGCCTGGATGCAATTCCACTGAATTGTCTTTATTTGCTGATGAATTTACCTCCTTTGCTGCCACCTCCTTCGGAAACTCGTTGTCCATTGTTACTGGAGATTTCAATTCTAGTGATCACAATTTCCTTATTTCACTTGGTCATGATAACATTGTCAACTTCCCGACTCGAATGGATAATATTCTAGATCTTGTGTTCACAAATGACATAGGAATATTTGAAGCTCGGAAAAGAGCCCCACTACTTAACTCTGATCACTGCATCATAAGAGTATTGCCCAAGGTATATGGAAAGCTGCAAAAAAGGGTCTTCTCCCACCTTGGAAAGAAAACACAACACAGATGTTATTCACATGACAACATACAGAATCTAAGGACAATGTTAAAAGACACAAACTGGGACCTGTTTACTGAACAAGCTCTTGACAACACAATTAGTAACATAACACATTATCTCAATTTCTGTCTTGATGTTTGTTGTCCTAAAGAGACAATCTTCTTAAAGTTCGAACGTTTCGCCTCTTCTCAACTCAAAAAGCTTCGCTGTGAAAAAGAGAGGTTGTACAAAATGAGAAATAAATCTGGCGTTAAGAGAATTAACACTTTAATTAAGGCCGAATAACAAAGACTAAATGCTCTCTATAACCAGAAGTTTCTCTCATGTAAATCGTCATCTAATATGTGGAAGCTATTAAAGGAAATCACATTTGGTAAGCAAATAATGAATGATACTTCCGTTGATGTTGATATGCTTAACAAATCCTTCATATGTATCCCTGCAGATGTTATGATTCCCAAATCTAATAGTATAAATAATGACTGCTTCTCATCTTTTAACACGAATGATGTCCTCAAGTGTCTTCAATCTCTCAAACCTACCCAGTCCCTTGGTCCTGATGGAGTTCCTGCTGTTATCCTTAAGAAGTGTACTGACATCTTATGTTACCCATTAACCGACATTTTCAATGAATCTTTTTCCAAAAGTATTATTCCTGACTCATGGAAAAATATCAAGGTTGTTCCAGTGCCCAAATCAACAAGTGGACCTACTGTCAAGTTTAGACCCATCGCTATTACCTCACCTTTTTTAAAAGTTATGGAAAGACTTATTTTACTTAATCTTGAACCCTCTTTAAAGCCTTTTAATGACCCCAACCAGTTTGCCTATAAACATAGTAGGTGTACCTTAGATGCCGCTGTTGTTCTATATCATAATATAGTCTCTAGTTTAGATAGAGGAGCCAAATATGTTCGGTGTGCCTTCCTTGATTACACATCTGCATTTGACTCTGTACCTAGGTCTCTCTTGCTAAGTAAGCTTGCTGCAACACAGAGTGAGAGCTGGATAAATAAGTGGTTGTATTCCTACTTTTCTGATAGGAAGCAGTACACTGTCTACAATGGAAAGTCCTCCACTACCTCACTTACTTTAGCTGGTGTTCCTCAAGGTGCTGTTCTTACTCCTTTTCTCTTTTCTTTTTTCTTACATGACTTGCCCCATTCTGATGTAGCAAATTTTGTCAAGTATGCTGATGACCTCTCTGTCTCCATGCCTGTCAACTCTCAGTCAGACTGTTCCATATTAAATAACTTTCTCTCGGAAATTAGTCAGTGGTCCTCTTCAAACGGTCTTAAGCTGAATCCGTCTAAATGTCAGGTAGTAAATTTTACTTTCAGACGAAAAAGTGACCTTCAACAACTAGCTAGCTCACATGGTCCCACTATCATTGACGGCATAGAGGTTGAAACTACATCTAATGTCAAGTACCTTGGACTGAATATTTCCTCCGATCTTTCCTGGTCCTCTCACATCTTGTTAGTGACTAGAAAGCTGTTTCGCTTAACGTTCTACGTTAGGAAGTTTAGGCAGTCTGGTATAAAGCAGTCTTTGCTTTCTCAGTTTGTCAATTCCTGTATTCTACCCATCCCTCTTTACTGCTCCCCATTAATCTTTCCTGGACTACTTTAGAAAGACTTCGCTTCGCTGCATAGGGCACTAAAAGCTGTTAGTAGGGCAAGTGGAATTTCGTTAAACCAACTGGTTAACACAATTGTGGATAGACATATAATGTCATGTAAGAGACTAGCGAATTCTATATTCTCAGACCCCGAACACCCTCTCCACACGCAGCTCTCTCCTTGCATTTCATCTGATAGAACTAGAAGCAACTATAGGAAGCTATATGCCAGGACTACCAGGTACAAAAACTCCACAATACCTTATCTGGCACAGCTGTTATGTGATGAGAAAACTGTTAGGCATGACACGATCACCTTAATGCGGCACTCTAACAAATAGTTCCCATTAACTTTTGTTCTCCTTTCTTTGTTACTATTATATTGTTGCTCATATATTCTATTACACACTAATTTTATATATCATATCCTGTGGTGCGTTGTTTAAATATGTGAATGCATTGCTGTTCTTTTCTATTTCTTTTATTTCTCTTTTTGTTGTTGTTGCTTTATATTTTTAAATCCATATAAAATTTATGAGGTAATTAGATGCAATATTGTAATGAACGCTGAAAATTCCATACCTGTACCACAAATACTGTTTGGAATAAAGCCATTATTATTATTTATGGCTGTGAGACATGGCCATTGAAAGCGGAACAGGTGAAAAGCCTTGCTAGCTGTCTTTGGTCAAAGATGTCCAAATTCTATCTCCTCTGTCAGGTGGCATAATACAGTGAGTAGTATTGTATTGAGGTTAGGAATTGATCAAGTCCTAGGTAAGAAGGGGAGACCGGTAAACGAATCTTCGAAGTTACGCCAGCTGAGATGATTAGGAAATGTGTTACGAATGCATCCATAGCCATCGCCTTCCTCGACAGAAGGCAATGTTAGCCACCAACATAGGACTGACCAGGTTGGAAAAGAGCTAGTGGTGGTCAAGCAAGAACATGGCTTCACCAGTTAATAAAATACCTAACAGTTAGTTTGTGCCAGCCACTTAGGTAGGTGCAGACTGCCTGACTAGTTGGGATCCTCGGTATGGTAAGAACCAATGAAGACTGAAAACAGTTGATGATATGGATCTGTCCTATACAATAAGAGTATATTGTTCTTCCATATTATTATTCTTTTTCCCTCACTTATGCATCTGTTTATCATCTGCTTTGAATCTCTGTTTACTCTCTTCTCTTGCTTTAAGTGCTACATGGAGACTAGCAACTGGAACTGGCGAATATCTGCGCGAAGTTACATGTTGAAACCAGTCAGTCAGTCATAGCCTTCCATTTAGAGGCGCAGAATGTTGATGATTCAGGCTTTCATCTGAAACTCGATGACGCATCAGTAATTTTAACTTCTGCTAAGTTTCAGATATAACGACACTTTCAACTAATGCTATGGATGACCATGCACTTCACACTAAACAAACATAGTGGTGAAGGAGTCTCTAAAGTGCATTGTGGAAGTGTCCCAAGTAAGATGTGAACAACTCCGTAGTGATAGATTGTTTCCATTGTTTATCCGTCTAACCTATGTCCGTTTGTGAAAAAGGAAACCTTCATTGAAATAGACATTTGTAGAAAATTATATTTGTAATATCTCAGCGATATTGAAATGAGTAATTCCAACGTTTCGTTCGGCAATCTGGTCCGAACTTCTTCAGGGAAATTAATCGAAATTAACATAACAGAGGTTTTATATATAAAAGGCACATCTTTTGTTTTTAAAAACTTTGTCCAATCATGATTCATAAACACAAGTATTAACAAGTATAATAAACAAACTTGTATGAGCTGTGATCAAAATTTGACCTCGGACTTACAAATATTGGTCTACCTTCGTTAAACACTTTAAACAGAGTGTGCATGCGTGTGTGTGTTAACAGTTGTAAAGCATTTCTTAACGTCTCCATAGGAAGACATAGACAGTCAGGAATTTGACCAAGTATTATTAATTAGTGATACATATGCATGGAACAAAATGCACATCCTAAATCCGTAGCTGTCGAGTCACCTGACAACTCCAGTAGGTCGAATAAAGCAGCTCAATATTCAGAAAGAAGACAGTGCAATACGTTCGACAGGGTGCCTAAACTAAACTCTAATCCTAAACACCATAATTTTGAAAATACGTCTAATCACAAAATTCTAGATACTAGCAGTTTAAACAGACATGAAGGTTTGTTGTTAGCTGATGCATAGGAAATCCTGATTAGTAAATAAAAATGGATATGTATCACTAATTAATAATACTTGGTCAAATTCCTGACTGTCTATATCTTCCTATGGAGACGTTGAGAAATGTTTTACAACTGTTTACACACACACGCATGCACACTCTGTTTAAAGTGTTTAACGAAGGTAGACCAATATTTGTAAGTCCGAGGTCAAATTTTGAACACAGCTCATACAATTTTGTTTATTATATTTGTTAATACTTGTGTTTATGAATCATGATTGGACAAAGTTTTTAAAAACAAAAGATGTGCCTTTTATATATAAAACCTCTGTTATGTTAATTTCGATTAATTTCCCTGAAGAATTTCGGACCAGATTGCCGAACGAAACGTTGGAATTACTCATTTCAATATCGCTGAGATATTACAAATATAATCTTTTACAAATGTCTACTTCTCACTCGACGCCCAAATATTTTAGAACTATTCTGTCAAATCTGGACCACAGTTCATTGAAATACTTATTCCAATCTTCATAATCGAACAAATCGATTAAGCTTCAATGCACATGCAAATACATACGCAAACATACAACACACACAGCGAATATGCTTCACCAGTAGATGTCTTCGTATTTAACTATCCCCTGATTGGTTGATTTCCATACTCATAACTATTTTAAATGACATTATTACTATCGATAATTCAGTTTCTGGTGACTACAGGAATGCTGAGGTTTTCTACAGTATGTCAACTTTACGTAGTCTACATTTCAATCTACTGCATACTATACTGTCAAGGTCTAGTTCCAGCGCCGGCTAGACGACATTCAACAGGGATATATCATCATCTTGATGAAAAGTTAACTTATGACAATCCACATGAAAATTGTTACATACTCATGGAGGCATTGAGACGATTCGAACAACGTCTTTTATTATCACGTCAATATCCTATTGAAAAGGTTACACTGTCTAATAAAACAGTTAATATAATCAAAATTCAACTGAATAAAATCTGTGATGAATCACATAATAGACTATGGCCATCCGAATCAATGAATGAGTCGTGTACGTTGTAAAGATCTGTGTAACTAATATGTGTATATGTTGTAGATTCATTGTGGATACTTGGTGAGAAGATTGTAATTGACTCTGAAGAAGTATGGGGAATATTACACGGATTGGAGACAATACTTCAGTTAGTTTATCGAAGTCCAATGGAGACGGTATGTGTAATTGAATCTTGGTCTCAACAACTCATTTTTATTGTTATTATTGTTATTGTTATTATAGAATGTGATTGAAGGGGGTATAATATTTGACGCTCCATTATATTCTCACAGAGGATACCTAATCGACAGTTCAAGGCATTACTTATCAACAAATGAAATAGTAAAATTTATCGTAAGTCAGTCTCCCAGTGTTGTTTAACTTGTCATTATAAACCATTTATATATTTAATTTATTTGATTGGTAGTGGTGATCGTTTTGGACAAATCAACTGCATGTATTTACACTCCCAGTGATGATGTTCCTACGGGGACTCAGGTGCAGCAGCTACCATTTTAACAGTGAGAATGTTATGCACTAAGCCACTGGTTCTCGAGATCCATTTTTGCGCTAAGAGTATTCGCCGTATTCTGGACTTGTCAGCTGGATGTACTTCGATCTCCGGTGAATAATCATAGTATTCCTATTGCTAAAAACATGACAATTAGATTAGTGAAGGGGCCCTTCTCTTGGCGAATCCACTTCCCCCTTTAGCCGTACAATCTAATTTATATACAGTCTCTTTCTCGTGAAAGAGAGTAGTAACAAAAGTGATGAGTTGGGACAAACAAGCAACAGACTTCACTCCTGAACTAGAAACTGAACAGACGGCAGAACTGTAAAAGGTTGATCTTTAGGAAATCCATATAGAATGGCCAGCTGACACGTTTCTACAGCTGGGCACCAGTTAGTCATAAACGAAACCTAATTAAATCTCTTGCCACTCGCGTCCAACGCATCTGTTGCCCTGATGCTTTGGAAGAAGAATTACATTTTTTAAAGAAATCTTCATGCAAAAAGGATGTCCACCAAGATTTATTGACAAAAAAGAGCATCACGCCAAATATTCAAAGATAAGAGACGCCATCCTTGCCAAAAAAGAAACTTTACATAAACCCTGACTTCAAAGGTGACCTACTCAGTTATGTCCTTAAGAGGATCATTTCGCCTGGTTTACGAAAAATTTTCTTCATAGCAAGGCTAGGCATAATATCTCACAATTATCAGCTGGTCTGCAGAAACCTAAAGGACAAGATCTCTCATATGATCACTCCGTTGTGCATTTATCATTTCACCCGTTCTTTTGGAGCCATGCATATTGGTTGTTCATCACGTATTTCATCTGAAGGGATTCAAGAATACTATACCGCATGGTTTCAGAAAGCCATAGTGGCTCTAAAAGCAGCACGAAAATCGAATACCTTATCAACACTGGGCGTTCCACCTCAATAAACGTTTCCTCCTAAACGATCTACCAAGTGAAGAGTAACCTCTTAAAGGCAATACCCTTTCGTCTTCCCTACATTACTGAAGCCTTAGCCACTCAGTTAGAGAGACAGAAGCTGCGCATACAAGAGAAAATTATTCAACCACTTCTACTATCATGGTAACAACATCGTTGATTTCTACTAATTTGATGTTCATTTGTTTGTTTGTGTTTCTAACTCCTTACAACTGTTGTATTTTTTTAGAATTCTTACATAATTTCATATTTAACCTCGTTTCTATGCGCATTCTGGTTATAACTCACTCACTAAGTTCTTCATCTTATTACGTAACTCCGAAACACTTGTTCAAATTCTTTAGGGCACTGACTAACACTAACAACTATCTCTGCGACAATTCATCACATTAATGACTACCCTCCTTCATTAAAAAGAGATTGTGTGTAAATGCGATTGTACAGCTAGGGTGGAAAATGGCATCGCCCCAAGAAAAGCATTTTCGATGAACAACTTTTCTTGCTTTCATTAATACTCGAATGGGAATTCCTCATGAATATTTCAACTGAAGGTCGAATCCCTGTCAGTCAATGGAAAAGTCAAAACACTGGTTTCAACAAATTTTTGGTAGAGAGTGTATACATGACTATTCCATCCTCATATGACGTTTACATACGCTTGAATGAATCGAAAACAATGCCTTGTACAGAATAAGATGCTACTCTTGTTTATCACATCGGCTTCCCATCAGCAGTGTACAGTTTGGAACTTCATTAAGTTTATGGAGAAATTTTGATGTGCTTGTAAGTTTGACAAGGTGCCCGTTAGTAAAAGACTCCAAAACCAATAAATAGTGCACAGAAATTGAACTTATATAACTTATATGGAGAAAGTTGAAGTTTAAACAAAACAAATCTGGAACTGCCAGTGGAATTGTCGCAAGGTAGAATAAACTACTCACTAACATGAGTAGTAAAAAACCTATCACAAAAACCAATAGTGCCAGCTAAAAGGTTAAAGCAGTCTAAACACTAGATGGCCATTTCATCAGCGGTTGTGTATCCAGTTTGACATACTACAGACAGCCGAATCAATTCAGATCACCAGAATTCTTGCTTTTTTTGATTGCCATTTATGGTAACAAGCACACTGCTTATTCTGATCTGAATATTTCTGTTTTCTGAAGGGAACGGTTTAGAATTTTAACTTCAAACTGTGTAACTTACTAATTTCGCTTTCAAGTTTACTGCAAATGGACTGATAAGCTTCAGTGAATACATCAAGTCCTGCGCAGTTACTTCTATTATCAACCAGTTACTTACTAGTCTACATCAGTCGGTTTTTATACAATGGTGTAGTGGTAAAATCCACTACTTTATCAGTAAGATATAAGTGTTGCAACGATCGCACTTCGCATTTAGGTCTTGCTAATCGGTTCTATTACATGCATTAAACCTGTTTCAAGGCTTTTCTCCCAGTGTCTTACGTATTATACTCCAAATGAGTTCACACAAACTTTGGGTGGAAGTTATCATACGCACTACACGCAAACCTTCATATACTACATTAATATTACTTTGAAGCTGGACATAACTCACCACAGGAAACGAAATATTCAAGTTTCCTTGGCTTGTCCTCTACTTGATTGTATGGAACTCACTTTTCTACCAAAGACATAGTAGTATCAAAAGAGCAAATATGATTTTCTTGATCAATATTGACCATTTAGTAGGCCATTACACATGCAAATTCCTGCTGTTTGTCGTCAAATCTGTCCAATCCCATTATCGCTTTAGGTGGAATACATACCACATCGTGTTCTGTTTCAGACATCACGACATTTTTAATAAACCAATAATAATAATAATCGTTCTTTGAAATCTCAGGAGCGATGGAGGAGAGGAAACAAGATTCAAATTTTTAACGCTAATATGAAATCAGTGCATCCATGTGATCCGGACATTTAGCAAGCTGGACATCAAAAGCATTTTTCAACAGCCTGTTGTGGATTTTCATTTAAACCTGGCTTAGCTGGTTTGTCAGTGAACACCAGGTATCCGACCAGAAAGAATAAGCGACAATGAATTCTGGCGGATAGCAAACTGGGGAAGAAGCTGTTGCTTAGCAAATATTCAAAATGAAATCGAGATAGAGTGACAACACACTACAGAGATAGTCAAGTGCAAACAGAATGGAAGGTGATGGGCTGGTCATCTGATGGTGACATGAAGACGACCATATGAAGAAGAAATACAAACTTGTGGGTAGTCGTGCAGCCAACTAAAAAAGACGCCAGAAAACTGGTTGTAGTGGTAATGTGTTGCTGAATCCCTGAATTACACTTGAAATTCGGTGGATCAATAATTAATAACAGTAGTAGTGATCCTTAAAAAGTACCTGATCATTTCTCAGGGTGTCGTCTCTTAATGCATACTGAAACGATTTGAGAGTGAGGACGGAAAACTGCAGCACTTTAGAAAAAATCCAACTTGATGCATCCAGTAGGGTGTGAACTGTCATTGTTCAAGGAATTAATTAAACAGACAGGACTGGAGAAGAATCTAGGCAAAATTTTTTATACTGTAATTTGTGAAGTTATCTTTATGTATATTATTGAATTTTTCTGTTTTTTATTCACAGGATGCCATGGCAATGGTGAAGATGAATGTCCTCCACTGGCATTTGGTCGACGACGAATCGTTTCCATATGTATCAAAAACCTTTCCTCAACTGTCACTGAAGGTAAGTTTCAAATATCGCTTTACAGTCTCCTGCCAGCATCAGGCAAAAGAGATCTAAGTACCCAAAAAGGGATAAATGGTAACATTTTCCTCAACTGACTCAACTCTTACATATTCTCTTGTTTTGTATAATATGTTGAGACGTAGGAAACATCAGTGTATTGATTTATCACTGGGAAGCAATCGACACCTTGTATCTCTTGCTTAGTGCTGTTAGTGACTGAATTCTACCAACGACTTTTTTTTAGTGTTGTCATCACCGAAGACTCGCCGTTGTGGTACATTTTTGAATTAATGTTAGATGGTAGAGCTCTCTGCTCACTATTATTATTATTATTATATTATTATTATTATTTCCTTTAGTTCCTAGAGGAACATAGGGCTTCAGCCATGCGTCTCCATTGCGTTCGGTTCTCTGCTAGAGTTTTCACCTGGCTCCAAGTCTGCCCACATGCTCTCATCTCCTCTTCACATGATCTCCTCCAGGTCACCCTTGGACGACCAACTCGTCGCTTCCCTTTCGGATTCCACTCGAGCAATGGCTTGTCTAGTGATATCACTTGCTGGTTTCCTCAGAGTGTGGCCAATCCATCTCCATTTCTTCCTGTCTATTTGTTTCACAATCGGTTCCTGGTTGGTTCACTCCCAGAGATCTTTGTTGCTGATCCTTTCCGGCCATCTGATCTTGAGTATTGAGCGAAGACATCTGTTAATGAAGGTCTGTAGCTTGTTTGAGGTGCTCTTTGTGACACGCCAAGTCTCTGATCCGTATAGTAGTACTGACTTCACATTGGAGTTGAAAATCCCAATCTCTGCTCACTGCTTCTAGCTATAAGCATTTATGCCTTACTAAAGGGAATATAGAAAGTTTGTATTGGTATTATGACACCAAATTATGATGAATTTCAACTTATATTCTTGTCATTACCGCCTATGCATTTTACTGTCCCCATTCACTTCATTTATTTTGACCTCTAAATTGGAAGATAACCGTTACATAGTACATCGTGGAGGTGTGATTGTTAGGCTTAAGTACTGGAATTTTAGTCAACGGATCCTGGATATTAACTCTGTCCCACCCACTTCATCACCAACACAATGAGTATGGCTCATAACCCGAGACATGGATTACTGAGTTGTAACAAAAATAATAACTATACGTACAAGCAACTGTTGTATAGTTCATAAAAAGAAAGAGTAGATTGAAAATCCCCATTGAGTCATATGAAAAAGAGAAGACATTCAGCGAAGAGACTCTTTTCGGCGAATTCATTCACATAGCTGTACAATCGCATTTATATATAAATATTTGTGTGTGTGTACATGAGGTTTGTCAAGTTTAGATAATTGATTAGTTAATACAAGAATGATGTAGTATAGAGACAAAGTTAATCAGACAGCAACTAAAGTAAGACTGAGTTAAAAAACTAGATGACGTAATATAATTGGCTAAAATGTTACAACTTAGGTCAGGATAGCAACAGAGGTAATTACAGGTAGAGATTAAGTAGAAGTGAAATTGAGTGAATAAGTTGGATGACGTAACATGAATGACTAGAAACTGAGCGTTGTTCAAGTCAGTAACAGTGGTAGTGGGGTGTAGAGATTGAATCGGGTGGGGGTAGAGAACAAGAAAGTTGAGAATGTAAAATGTTACAATTGAGAAGACAAAATAATACTAATGAAGAGACAGAAAAAAAGATTAGGTAGAATTTACATGTCGGCTAATAAGATAGATTACGTCCATTGCAAGTGTAGCGATTGAACGAACTTCTTCTGTATGCAGAGTTCAGGACTTAGCAAGTGAATCGCCATTGCTTCTGCAGTTTGAAGAAGTCTGATTCGTACACCTTTAGGGAGACTACTTCTTACTCTGTAGACGACTTTGAAGTTTGTTTGCGGTGTAGCTTGGTGTCCGGATTCTATCAGATGTTCTAAGATGGAACTGCGGGGGCATCGATTTTCTCCTTTGTAAAACCATGCTGGTAAGTGCTCGGTGATACGTTTGGAAAGCGAGCGCTGGGTACGGCCGACATACCTGGCTCCACACGAGCAGGTGAATTGATAAATGCACATTGATGAGGCCAGCAGCGGTAGCTTATCCTTCACGTTCACATGAATCATAGGTTTTGTGGAGAAGGTTAGTCGTAGTTCAGCTGCGAAGAAGGTCTTCTTAAGTGAGCGCGACAGTCGATTTTTTAGTGTTTCCGCAGATAGATCTCCATTGAATTGGAGGTTCATGTAGAGTAGTTTTTTCTTGACGCTGAGTATGGGTGGCTTTTCTGGTCTAGGATTCATAGATTTTGCAATAAGTCTTTCTGGATAGCAATTCTCGACGAGGATTCTCTTGAGGTTGTCCAGTTCATCTTCTACGGTGTCCGGGGTGCAGATTCTGCGAACTCTGTAGTTGAGTGAACGGATCAGGTTTCGTTTGGTGTATAGTGGTACCCAACTGTGAAAGTTAGTAAGCTGTCCGTTCCACATCGATTTTCTGTGGATAGATCTTCTCAGTGTTCCATCCTGTTCTCTTCTGGTTAGTTGGGCGTCAAGAAAAGATATTGTGGAGTTGGACTCTTTCTCCATCGTGAACTGAATTGCAGGGTGGCAGTTGTTAAACGACTTTAAGATGTCGTCTAAATTTTCTTCGTTGTTGACGATAATGAAGGTGTCGTCGACGTATCTTTTATAGATTTCGAAGGTATTGATCATTTTCTTCAGACATGTGTTTTCGAGTTTTGCCATGAAGAAATCTGCAAGCAAAGGGCCTAGTGGTGAGCCCATAGCTATACCATCCTTTTGGCGATATATTTCGTTGTTGAAAGAGAATTGAACATTCAGGGTACACCTCAGTAGGAGTTCTTTAAGATGCTCGGTGGGTATACCGATGTTTATTCCTTTGGAGTGAATAAGTTCGCATATATAGCATATTGTTTCAGTCAGTGGAACGTTTGTGAATAGTGATGTGACATCTAATGAAATCATTGTCTTGTTGGATACGTTAATGTTTTCGATTGAGTCAATAAAGTCGAATGAATCTCGAACTGTGTGGCAGGAAACTTGTTTTCTGATTGGTTCAAGTAGATCTGCTAACCATTGAGCTGTGCGGTGATAGGGTGAATTGGTCATGTCGAGGATCGGTCGAAGAGGGATACCCTTCTTGTGTACTTTCGGGAGTCCGTAAAGTCGTGGTATATTTGAGCCAGACGGTCTAAGGGATTCGAACATTTCGTTGCTGATGAAGGATTCAGTCTTCAACTTACGAAGGGTGTCCGTTAGCTTTTGTTCGGTTTGTTCAGTCATGTTTTTCTCGTTGATTGGTTTTGTGAATTTGCATTCATCGAATAGTATAGTCAGCATTTTACTGATATAGTCCTTGCGATTCATGATTACGATTCCTCCGCCTTTATCAGGAAGTAATATCATAATCTCTTCATTTTTCATAAGTTCTTTCAGCTCCTTATGGTGCCTCTTCGTCAAGATGGACCTTCCGTTGTGTTTGGTATTTATAAACTTGTGACAACAGTCAAGGATTGATGCTTTGAATTGTTGTAGGTTTTCGTCTGATGTAGGTGTGAGATCGTAAGTCTGGTTTATTAGATTTTCGAACTGAACCTGGCATTGTAGCTTGTCAATACTTGGTGGTTTTACGCAGAATTTTGGACCTAGAGATAGTGCCTCTAGTTGAGTAGTAGACAGTGTGATGTCTGAAAGATTGAATACGTACTTTTCTGGATTGCTTGGGAACGGAGATTCGGTATTAATTGTAGGCTAAGAAGAGAAAAGAAAGAGTCTCTAGCGTTCATGTCCTTATTTGACTATTTATGTAGAAGTATACTGTCTTCATTGTACGGCTAATCAGACTACCTAAAATGGTTAATATCAGCTGACGGATGTCTCCCTAGTGAGATGCTCTGAATAAACTCATAATAGACATATAAAGTGGCGGCAAATAAGTTTAAATATAATTCTTTACTAGTTGTTTTTGTTGAGTTCACAACTTTCTGAAATATGAAAATGAATGTTTGACCGTATTTTAATCGGTTAACAATACAAATTACCTGAGAGGACACAGAACTGACTGTGTGCATGTGTGTGAGCGGGTGATTGCGCGGACGTACTTATTAACCAGTGAAAAGTGTACTTTTAAGAAAAATGAAGAAATCCAGAGTTTCATTCCTTTTCATTCGAATGGTTGCAACATTTTATATAAGAATGATTTGTCTGTTATATCATACTACTACTTTTCTTGGAAATCGTGCATTCTGTGTGGCTTTCTGTTTGGTTCAAACTCTGTGCTTTCATAAAACCATCTAGACAACATTTTCTGCACTCACTTCACAACCAAACTGTTTAACTCAAAGGAATATACACACAAGCTACAAATTTTGCACATTATTTCGGTACAGTGTTTCAGTATTATCTTCGAATTTCGTCCTAAGCTTAATTATTCTTACCCACATTTACCAACATATTCACTCATCTAATATAGAACTATATTCTACAGTATGATCATATTTCTGTTCTTGCAATGACTTGAATAGTTGTTGATCTATCCTCCTACAAACAAAAGATTTGACCCCAACGTCAGACGATGAAGTCGCTAGGTTTAAAACTACCCTAGTCGACAGTTGTCAACAGTATAAAAACAATAGTCATCCTGGTAAGAGTTTGCTGACTAAACAGCATAGAGAAGCCCTAAGAAAGCTAAGGAACGACGAAAGCATTGTAATAAGTAGACCCGATAAAGGAGCTGGAGTAGTACTGATGAATAAGTGTGATTATGTCGACAAAATGAACTCACTTTTAACGGATGAAACGAAGTTCCAAAAGCTTATCAACCCAATAGATCTGGACGGAAAGGCTGAAAAGCAGTTAACTAACGCGCTTAAGGAACTGAGTAAAAGTGGAGTAATCTCAGAGGCAGCTTATAACCGTCTTAAACCTACTGGAAGTAATACTTCACGTCTGTACGGTCTGCCCAAAATACATAAACCAGGACTT